CGCCTGGGAAAAGCCCCGCCCCCCGGGCCCGCCCCCTCCCGGCAACTCCGGGCACCCCGCGGCCCAACCGCCACATCCTGCGCGTTTCTCCCCAAAGGCGCCGTGACGGGGCCGAGGGCAAACGCTGACAAGGCCGCAGCAGCAGCAGCAGGCGGCAACGAGGCAAGCGACAGCACCCCCAGACGGCCAGCAGAGCCCCTGAGCCCGTGGGAGGCTCCTGAGGGGCCCGGTCTCCAATTTTCTGAAGAAAAGAGGGGTTTTTTTTGAACCAGATCTCTTCCACGAGGGCGGCTGGACTGGCAGGGTGAGGTAACGACACGTTGGGAAGAGCACACATCTCCCACAGCATCAAGTCTCCAGTGAAATGCTCCACGGCCTTTAATGGCAGGAGAACAGCAGCAGCTGCTTTGCTGGGCAAAAAGAACCTTCCAAGAAGCCCAGTCACTTCAGAAAACGTGGGGTTTGGCCATCACAAATGCATCACAGGCTGCATTATCAAAGAATCATGACAACGAGAAATGTCTAACAGGCTTTTTTACTTTGTGATAAAAAACAGCTCAGTCCCATATTCGTGCCAGAAGTTACTCAGGTGGCCTGTTCAAATCATGTCCCCGGTTTCCATTCTTAAACCAGTTGTTTCTCTTGAAGCCACCATCGCTTTGCCTCCCGTTTCCAAACCTGGAGAAGCCTCGTCCTGCCTCCTGTGGATACTCTTCCAGCTCAGGCAGTTCCTTTGCCACCGACAGTTGCCAGCGCCTGGTGTCACTCCACTGCTCCTGAAACAATGGAATGAGAGACTTGTTGTACCTACAAGTGTGTCCACGGTACCCTATGATCATTAAAAACAACACTGAATGCAAAAGCCATTCCAGAGAAATACCACCCCTGCCAAAACAGGTTGGCAGATCCCTCTTGGGATACAACTCGCAGTCCTGTGGCAAAACAACTGCAAAGGGACAAGAGGGAGTGAAGTTGACAGAAAATTGGTTAATTCTCAAATACGCTGGAGAGGTCGGTCAAAACCCAGAGTCACCAAAGAAAACAGGATTTTGTCCAATGAAATCAGGTAATACAAGAACTGAAATCAGAAAGAGGCACGACAGGATATTTTCTAACTGTGCTGTGTGCTCTTTCCAATGACTGTGCTGTCTATGCAAAATTCTGATTAAAACACAAACTTTATCCTCCCAAACCACTCTAGATTCAATCCTGTATTTGGCAACCACCAAATTTAAAAAAAAACAAACAGGTTCCAAAGCCAATTCTAGTTACAAAAACATACCTGTATGTTACTCAGTTCACCAACAGGGATATCAAAGCACACCCCCTGTAACAGAAAAAAACAGAAGCATTTGTTTTCCAAAGATACATCCAAGAACAGAGACAGACAATTTCAGAGATAGAACACCTGCAGTGCTCACACTACCTGTAGAAACCAGAAAAGTCAGAAGAGTCTTTTAGGGGAAGCTTTTTAGAAGCTGAAGAAAAAAGCAGTTGAAACACAAAAGCTCAAAATGCAGCTTCAAATGCTCTGTGCTGACAGCAGCACTGCCTGCAATTGGCCTATTTCAAAGAAAGACAAGTGTCAGCTCGGACCACAGAGACAGCACAGGAGACAAGTGTGAGGTCAGGAGGCAAGCTGACAGTCAGGTGAATGCTGTGCTGCTGACATCAGGCAGTCACTCCCTGCCCTACACTCTACAGCTGTCTTTTCAATGCAGTGCTGCATAGTCTTTGAGTTCACAATGGGTTAATACAGGTCAAAACAACTACTCCCACTATACACATAATTCTGATTGTTATCTTTCTAGGAGAGCTCCTGCATTATCATTTAAGAGCAATGTCTCCATTCTAATAAGTGCCTTAAAACACTCAACTAGCTTCCATGCTTTCTCTTTTTAGCAGAGTATACACAAGAAGCAGTTTCAGGGGGCCTCGTGATAGGTCACCATTTTCTGAGGTTGTTGTGTAAGGAACAGAGTGAGGGATCACCTTTTCTATACTGGTGCTTCAGAACTCAAAACCACTGCAAAAACTGGCCAGATGTGCACACACACACAGCCCTTCCCTCCCCTTCCCCACGGCCAGGCCATCTTACCATCTTCCCCTTGAGGAAACGCATTGCAGATACTTTGGAATCTACTTCCTCACCAAGCTGTTCCTTCAGCCCTCGCCAGGCGTAGCTCATGTTACGCATCTCTATTGAACACTTCAACACCATGGTCACAAAGCCCTTCAGGAAACAGAGAATAACACTTTAAGACTAGACTGGGTTGGACAGCCTGTTGACTCAGTAGGCTAATGAACTCTGTGACATCTTGTTACTGTAAGATAGCATTTAATCCTAAGAAATAAAATTCCCAGTTGTGAAGCAACTAAAAGCCTCCTAAGAAGCTGAAGGCATCCATCTAACCTAGGCCTGACCATTGATAAAAAGGCCAATAGCATTTATTTTAGCCAGAAGCAGACACACATTTCCTCGATACATAGTTATGGTTAGAAAAGGGGTTAAAATACCTCCAAACCAATAAAAGAAGCACAGTCCAGTCACATGCTACTTCCAAAATTGTGTTACCACACAACAAACTGGGCCAAACTCTCCCTTAAATGTATCAGAAAAACGAAGGGTTGCACTTTTCTTCTGTCAAGATCTCTTTGAAATCAGGTATTCATTTTCTAGACTTACTTGAAATACTATAGAAAAGTCAATGCTTCCTGGGAAGGGAAGGCTACAAGAGCACAACCCAATCTGTTAGCTTGTAAAGTGTCATCAGTTCTGTCATTTAGATCTCTGGAGAAATTATCTTAACTCTCATTACAAGGAAATTCACCAACTGATTTTGAGTTTCTCTGGTTTCCTGCAGGGTGCCAGTGAGAGCTGACTGCAGTTAAGGAACGAGCAACCAGAAGCTGGTGTAACAGCTATGCAGAAACCCTACTGGAAGAGCCCAAGAAGATGCCACGCTTGGACTGAAGGCAAGTAATTAATGTATGCATTCTTGTTAACACAGGTATCATGTTATTTACCGCAGTTGAGTTGAGCAGGGAGCGCTGCTGGATGTAAGATGCCCCAGAAATATGAGCCAGGGCTGCAGCCAGGGCAGCAACTGCTCCTTTTTCATCTATGAGCTCCTGAGCAGATTTTCTGAAGTAGTCTACTGCAGAAGGAGGAATGGCCTCCAGCAACCTACATGGTGACAACAAAAGTTTAAGAGATCCAAAAAGGACAGTGTAGAGTGCAGTCATCTTTAGGACATAGGCTTCAGACAGCTTTCAAGATCAACATATCATCTCTAAAAGCCTTGGCTATGATGCTCTTGCTTCACTACCACTTGTTTAACTCAATACCTTCACAATGCTGAATACCCACCTTCTCTGTTCATTCACCCAAACCTCTTGAAAGATGTACAATGTGGCACGTTTGAGAGCATTGATAAAACATCAAGGGAAGGCTCTAAAATACCTTAAGGCCAAGAATCCACAAGGAAATGTTGCCAGCAAACCCAAGGATCCTTTGCTTTTACTTCACAAAGAACCAGACCAGTACAATGGCACAGTCGGGCTGGGGAAAGGCACTTCTCGCTCTCAGTGCGAAGTGATTAAATTGGTTATTTCTGGGAGAGGCAGTGAAAACAAGCTGGGAAACCGAGAACAGCTACTCCTCTAAAACTATTTTTGGTACACCACTGTTTTTCAGTATTTGATTAACCCAATGCCATGCCCATGATCTCTTCTTCACTGGCCAAACCTTTATCAATTACAATAATCTCTGTCGATGCAACTTCCACCAATAGGGCAGAAAGTGTAAACACAGCTGGAGAATAAAGATGCAAAGAAACACAGGATGGGGCTACAACACCCTCACTGCTGCAGTGACTCCTCATTACACCTCACACACTGCTACTGTCCTGTCTGAGCAACACCAGCTTCCCTGCATGACAGTAATTCCCTGTTCTGCTAGTGATTTGTAATGGTAAAACAAAGGTGAATTTCTGCAACACAATGCCCTACCAAAAGGTCTGTGTTCAAGCACACAGAGGTTTACTGATACCATGAAAATGTCTACATGCAAACCAGCTGACTTGCACAATGTAGGCGAAGACATGCTTTGATCCCTTAAAGCTTTGTATTAACAGCACTATTGTTGGTAAAGTCTCAAATCTCTTTACAACAGGCAAATAAACTTACTTTTTAGCATCATTACTTGAAGCTTGTATTACATCCATAGCAGAGGGAACACCTACACGCTTAAATGTAATCCCCTGAAATTAAGAAAACGAATGACAGTTAAAGGTGCTTTCTGCACCTCAACTCAACCCCCATCAGTCACCTTAATGTGATCTCTGGTCACTTACTCTTTAGAACGTCAATGCAGACTTTACTTAAGTTACTTCTAAAACTAGAATAAAGCTCTTTTTAAAAAAAATTCCTGCCTTTGTTCATCTGGAGCTACTCTGCATCAATTTACATGCAGATTGCAATGCAAACATGGTCTCCATGCATTCCAGTCACAGTCTGCCTGCTGACAGCAAGAGTACTGCCCACATGGGGAAATTCATCAGACATTAGAACAGGTTTATACAAAAGCATTTACAAACACTTACCAAATATCAACATTTTGGGCCTACTGGACTATGGGACACGAGTCCCACACAGGACTCAATAAGCAGCCCGTGGTTACAAAGTCTAAGAGTGGCAGAGGCTTTTTAGGAGTTGAACAATGTTGTTACCCAGAGGTCTGAGGTACCACTCACCGCTTTGTGCTCAACTTGTTTCAGAAGATCTTCTTCTCTTCTCTGAAATAAACAAATGCAGATCCCAGTCCGGCCAGCTCGACCCGTCCGTCCGGAACGATGGATGTAGGAATCAACATCCTTCAAAAATTCAGATTAACATGAGAAAATCTTATGTCACTTGAACCATTGACATTCACACATTGTACAAGAGACAAAATGCAACCTGAATTCTAACCCGGAAGCCTAAGGAGTGATACATGATGCCTCTATATCCCAAACTTGTAACTACACACCAACCACTCGGGTTTGCATATGCTATCCTGACCAAGGTATGCTGCCTCAGGTTGAACAAAACACTACTGACATAAGCTGCTTGCTTTCTTTTTTCTTTTTTAAATAAAATGTTTCACTGGAGTTTCCAAAGAAGAAAAAGCAGCAGGAGTATTTTAGAAACTCAGTGATATTCAGAAGGGATTCAGAAATGCTAAAACAATGTCAAAAGCTAGCTTAGGACTTGCCAGAATAACCAAAACCCAAAGCTGCATTTTAATCAAAGCCCCAAATATAAAAGCTTAACCCACTTTGTGAATCAGGACATAAT